GGCATTTCATAAAATATTGAAGGTGAATTTATTGTAATATATCTACTGTACATCCAGTCTCCGTTTACTTATTTTGTCCTTCTTGTACTGTTTTTATTATGCATCACATTATATAAAATGTTTATTCTTGATGTCAAATGTCTGCTGCTGTACCACAGTTACCTGAAAGGGAGTGATAAAGAACCTGTCCTATAGAGGGGATGATTTCACTATGTTGAATTTACAAGCAGACCTGAATGGTAAATAATTTGAACGTTATGTATCGTGTCCTGAGATAACCTTTATAGTGAATTGTCTTTGTATACATGAACTGAACTGAAGTGATGGCAAAAATGGGCTACACCAAATAAATTTGAGTCTAACTTGCAGTATTTGATGCCACTGCTGAGTGATGTCAGATTCATTTATACTAAAAAGGAAGGAAGGGGTTGTTGCTTCATTTCTGTTTTCCAAAGCAGCAGCAGTATCCAGAAATAAATCATGACTGATGAACTAAACCTCGAGCTGGACGATGAGCTGGCCTGGTACATCCATCCATCCATCCATTTTCTTTACCCGTTTATTCCATTTTGGGTCACGGGGGTCGCTGGTGCCCATGTCCAGCAATCACTGTGCGAGGGGCGGGGTACACCCTGGACGGGTCGCAAGTCCATCACAGGGCCACATAGAAACAAACGAGACAAACAACCATTCACTCTCTCACTCACACCTAGGGACAATTTAGAGTTACCAATCAGCCTAACATGCATGTTTTTGGTCTGTGGGAGGAAACCGGAGTACCCGGAGAAAACCCACGCATGCACGGAGAGAACATGCAAACTCCACCCAGAAAGGCCCCTGGACCGGGGTTTTGAACCAGGGACCTGCTCGCTGAGAGGCAGCAGCTCTACCAGTTGCGCCACCGTGCTGCGGCCTGGTACAATAAAAGTAAATAAATAAATAACAAATGTGAGTGTGTGTGTGTGTGTGTGGAATAAATCAAATCTCTCAAGTTTTTATGAGTTTAATATTTATTTTTTAAAAGATGCACGAGGAGAACAAATGGATCATTTCCTATATCATTAAACCGCATACAGTACATGTATAATTAGCATGTGAAAAACAATAACAGTAACCAGTACAATTAATTTTCTTCTTCTTTTTGTACACAGATTAAACAGATTTACTGCTCAGTGTGAATTCTGGTTTTCAGCCTAATTACATGACGATATGAACCTTTCTAAAGACTAATCAGACGTGTTTTACACCAACGCGTCCAAACAACCAGAGAAAACTAAATGAAGGCGGATACTGTGATCAGATTTCAGCTGTTGGAAGAATCTGGTGTTGTTGGGTGACAAAAAGTTACGGTTATGGGAAATCTTTCACTTTAAAACACACCTGACCGTGCTGCGCTAAAGGTAAAGACATTATGGAGAATTAAAAGTCCCACTTCTTCAACTTCATAACTAATAACTGAACACTTAAGTGTTGTAAATGATTTTCAGCTACCACCACACCAAATTGTAGCTGGTTATGTGTAAAAATGGCTGAGTTACAGCTATTTATGTGTTTGCCAAGTCTGATAATCTGTGGCAGCCATCTAAAATTGGATTGACTCCAAAGGTTAATCAAATATAAAGGTACATCCATGGATTATTTCCTGAAAGATTCCTGAAAATCCGCTGAGCGGTTCACAATATATTTTGCTAACAGACAGGCAAACACACAGACAAAAATAACAAAGTTGTTTTGTCTTCCGGCGATGGACAAAAACAGGCTCAAAATGTGCAACGAGAAGCCTTCAGTCACAAAAAAGTGATTTGAAAATGATTTCCTGCAAACTGATACCTGATCACAGCACAGAGCTGAGGCACTGAAAACACAACCAAGGTGCAAAAATGGAGCCTGAACCTGGATTTGACCTGGAAAACCATCTGTGGATTAACCTAATTTTGACATTAAAGACAAAAACGCTGAATATAAAACTATAAATACGCCTCCTGCGCTCCACTCGGATTATAACCAGACACAGTTGAGATTTTACATACATTTTCTTCACCCCACGCATTCGTAAACATGATTCTCCAACTTTATTCCCACAATAAAATGTTTGCCAATGCAAAAAACAAACAAAAAAACGAGAGAAACATACAATATTTTGACGTTTCTCAGAGGAACTATTCAGATGAGAGTTGAATTTTTAAAGAGTGAACATGAAGGGAACCTGCAGGGCTGCACTTATACATCTCATGTCTGGCCTGCAGGTTGAAAATATAACAAAGTACTCAAACTGGCTTTTAAACAATAGATTTAAACATTTATCTAACTGATAACTGAAAACAGTCAAATAGCACCATTGAAAACCAAAGCACCATTAATAATCATTGCAGCTTATCCCCACAGAGACAGTCATTTCCTCTCATAACAATGACCGAGCGACTTTTAGTTTTGCACAGAGCTGCTGAAGCGATGACGTCACAGACGTGTCGTGAGTCACTCTTTTAAACCTCTTGGGCAGCGTTTCTAAAATGATTTTCTGCTGGATGGACAAACGGCACAAACGCAGAACTAAAGGTGTCCAGACGGAAGCGCTCGCCGAGATGCGTCACACGACACAGACGAGATCTTTCCAAGAAGTTCGGCATGCGACACGATGTTTCCCTTCCTGTGTTTAAAACGAGAGACAACTGTTCGTGTGAATTCAAGCGAATAAACAAATGGTGTCATTGTTTACATGTGCTGCGTTCACGACTCGGTGAGCTCAGCAGCGTCTTGGCTTTGCGTAAAGATTTCAGACATTAGAGAGAAAACGTCTCGTGTCATCCCTCACTTCTTTATATTTTACTTCCAAGAAGACAAACTTTCTTTAAAGTTGCCTTAAAATGTTTCAGAGTTGTTGTTTTTTTAAACCTTTCTACTAACTTTCAGTCCACTACCTGACCATTTTCAGATAAATACTTCTTTCTTTGTTTTACAAAACACTAAATTCTGATCTATGAATCGTTCAGGTTTATAAATGCTCCTAAACTCACGGGACCGACTGGTGTTGCGTCGACGCCTAACAGAAGATTTTGCAAATAAACGATTTTACAGGAATATTCAAGCCGTCTGTCACAAAGAGACAATTTATTCTAATTCTCAAGCTGAATCCATGAAAAATACCAAAGACAACAATTTAACTGGCAAAAATTGCTTATTTTAGCATCAAACACGTGATTCTCAAAAAGCTGTTAACTGGCAAACAGTATGATCGACTGAAGGATAATGAATGGATGATGAAAGATGACGGAAAGGATGATGAAATCTCGGGCATAGCCCCAAAGAACCTCACTGACCTACACAAGGTGAGGTCAGTGAACAAGGTCAGGCTGATTCTGGCAGATCCTGATCACCCACTCCCAAACAGACCACAAAACTCATTCATCCCTGTAGCGATCAGGCTTCTCAACCAACAGTGATGATTTCTATAGTTATTTTAATGTCTTGTCTAGTATGGATGTTTTGTCTGCCTGACTGTGGATAATAAAGGTTTTTGAACTTGATGTATCACTGGTCTTTTTGGATTGAAAAATATAACTGAATTAACATGACTTCTGCTGTAGAAAGCTTTTTATTTTTTAGGTCTGAGACTTCTTTTTATGTCCATTTTCTCCCTTTTACACACAAAAAGCTCAATATGATGTCATGGTCAGGTCGTTTTGGACAAAAACGGAGAAAGCTTTAAAAGCTTTTTAGAATATCCCCTAAAAATATGTTGAAATCACTTGAAAAGGTTATATTTAGTCTGGCTGCTTGACAAAAAAACATACAAAGACATTGGAGGTAGCTTCAACTCTTTGCCCAGTCCTGTACATCTAACGCTCAATAAAAATGAGAAGAAAAAAAACAACCTTTGACTAAGAATCCAAAACTAAGTGATTTTTTTGACAGATTCACATGATTAATACTACTTCTCCAGATTTGCTTAATGCATTTTGTACATAAAAACTGCATTTGACCCTGTTGCATTCACACATGAACCAAAAAAAGAATAAATCTATGTTCTTACCTATATTTTTAAAATTAGCTAGAATATGGAAAGCTTTAACGTGGATGTTGTCTCACAGCAGACTAAACGAATCACAAATACATCAATTAAAAAACATAAAATATTTAAATTCCTCCACTCAAAGTGCACCTTTGAGCATTTGGTTAAAAGAAAAAGGAAGCTTTAAGCTCAACCACACGCAATCTGGAATGTGAAAATGACTCAATCTAGAATATTTAGCTGACAACATTAAAGGTCTGTGCTGTTTTTACTGTGTTGCTGCTGAGGCGATAATGCAAAACCGTCTAAAAATGGCAGGATTGTGGCTACGTCACTGCACAACTCCCACAAAGAGGTCCAATCAAATCCCTTAACTTTAAACACACGTTTGTGCAAAAAATATATATAAAAATAAAAACTAAAACTTGATGAATCCACTGATACGCACAAAGAAAATACCATGAAACAGTGTAATGATAGGAAGGAAACACGTTTTTTCTTTTCCTATTATTCTTTTTGGGGACAAATATACTATTACTCCTTTTAAAAAGTGGGTTTTTACAATATTTAGAGCAGAACAGTTACTGCCTGCCAACACACAGATCGTGGATAAACATTTAGGCCACTTTAGTGGAGCTTAAAGTACGACTCCTGTGGCCGAAGTGACACGTCGTAGCACCAAAATCTTACAACAGAGGGAAGGTTTAGAGAGACTGAGAGAGAAAAGGGTCATCCCTCCATCTCTCTGCCTCACCACGTTGCAGCAACTCCTCGTCCTCCAGTGAATGTTTGAACTCAGACCGAGCTGCTTTTATCCTTGAGATTTCAGACCTGGATCCTCAGAGAGAAAGCACATCCCTCTGGCCAGTTCCAGAACGACATCACCGAAAAGTCCCACACCTGTTCGGACAGAGGCGGGGTGAGGCTGCTGAAAGGCTCAGTGGGAAGGGTTCTGTGCGACCCAGACATGGATGCTGACAGCTTCACGGTGTCAGTGTCCCTGGCAGGTCTTGCAGCACATTTGTCTGAAATAGCGCCGATTGCAGAACTTAAATTTGAGCACCAGGGGGCAGTATGCCACAGTGTTCACATCTTTACACTCTGCAGGGGGGGACAAAAGAAGAATTACAGCTTCATCAGAGCATTAGTGTTCCAGACATAATCACTTATTCATTTCCATGCTTTGTCTTAATTTACTCCAATATAAGCTTACTTTGATTATCTGTATCATTCCCTTTTTAGGAATGATTATTGTTTAAACCCCCAAATTTATCTAAAACCCCCATCTTTTTCATCTTGCTGCAGACTTTTATTGCCTGGATGGATTCAAGAATTTGTTTTAATCTACAGTAAAAGTTGCTCTCTCATGAATCTGAAAAGTTTTTAGATGAAGGAACATCTACTGTGGTTAGTAAAACAAAAAAACAATAATAATTAAATAAAATAAAATAATCGGCCCCCACCTGAACTGAACTACCTTTTTAAAAAAGTACATCAATAACGTTATTTACCCTTAGCGGATGCTTTGAGTAGCTTTCTCTTGACAATTTTTTTGTAAGGCTCAAATTGCTGGTTTGCAGCAAGAAAAAAAAACTCATAAAGAGTAAATTAAAACAATTGACTTAATGTTTCAATGCAAAAATAAAAAGATTTTCAAAATAATTACAAAGCTTAAACATTCTGAATGCTCTCTGAAAAGCTACAAGAAACTCAAATAAAAAGTGAGACTGCAAGACAGTGGACATTACCAGAGTGGATATTTGACCTCTGACCTTCAGGGTTGTTTGTATTGATGGGCAGACTGAGGTCACATTTGCTCTTGCATTGCTGCATGGCTGCAGGCCGATGATGGTCCAGACACTCGTTGGACGGCTGGCCGGTGTGGGACAGACACTGCACCGAGCGCATCTCCTGACCCAGACCACACTTGGCCGAACACTGGAACAAGACGTTTACCGTTCAGATAAAATGACAACATAATGGGAAAAGAGAAGACTGGAAGGATCTCATCTTTAGTTCTGCAAGTAAGACTTTATTATCACACCCCTAAAGCTTAAATATCATACGTTACGTAGACATATTAACGTCAAATACGTTGATGAAACACCAACTTCCTGAAGACGCTTCCTGTAAATCTCTTAATACTGCTTCTTTAAGACATTTAAAGGTTTAGCATTCCTTAAAGGAATGCATATCGTCCGCCACCGTTCATGTCAGCGTTTTAAACTGAGATCATCCTGTAATGAGAAATGATGGAGTTGTTGACCTAAAAAAAAGTGCAATCTCATGCGATATCAGGAGCTATTACACAATAAATTCTCTTTAAAATGGGTTATAGACATTTTAGGATTTTTTTTAGTCAATGTGGCAGCCATCTTCAAAAGTGTCGACTCCAAATGCTAACCAGCTGCTGATGCACAGCCATTGATTAGTTTAGCAAAAACAACATTGTCTACTTTTGCCTTTTGTAGCCAGATAATTTAAATCAAATGGCAGAGCCTCACTTTACACAGAATGATCATAATAGAAACTTGAGTAAATAAACAAATAATTTAGAGAACGTTCAGGTTTTCTCCTGATTCAGCTGGATGGGCAATTATGGAGATTATTATTGTTGTCAATAATTATGTGACTTGTGATGATTTAGTGCAGAGAAAATATGTGCAAACACTAAAATCTGCTAAGTTTAGTAGATCTGAACAAAAACCTCACAATGCAGTGTTTTCTATAAATAAAAAGGTCTACAATTAAAGTGCCTTACCTCTCCCCAGGGACCCATGGCCCATTGAGGGGGAGGGCAGCGCTGCAGGTTACAGCGCACCCTGGATGTGGGCCGGCCGTGTTTGGAGCACTTTGAGTCTTGCAGCGTGTCGCCGCTCTCCCCGCTCTTACACAGCACCACACGATGCCTGTAGCCAGGACCACAGCTGGGCGTGCACTGCAGACAGAAGGAGGGATGAGGAAAAACAATACTAAAAGAAAGAAAGAAAGTCAGGCAGGAAGGCAGGGAGATGGAGGAGTTGGGAGGGTGCAGCAATGGGGTCAGTGAGGTCATGACTGTGCAAAAAATAAAAAACAAAACTCTTAATCTTCTCAGCAGAGGGCAGCAGCTTTACAGGAAGTAAAGCCAGGAGCCTGCTGAGTTTCTGTGAAACAACTCGACATATTTCCTCTCATGCATGTAACATTGTTACATTACACAAAACTTAAATATATAAATATATTTCACTGACTCCAGAACAGAGTCAGAAACCAAGTAGCAAACAATAAAAAGCACTTTTCAAACTGCTAAACTTCAAATGAAATACAAAAGTTGAGTTTAAAAGTTAAAATTTGAAAAATGCTGCAGCTAAAACTGATCGATTAAAGTTAAAATAAGCAAAACTGAGGCTAAAATGAGCCAAACAAGCGAGAAACTAAACTGCTAAAAGCAGTAGCTAAAATAATCAAAATGGATACTAAAATTATAATTTTGTTAATTGACATTTATTTATCCAGGCAAATCCCACTGAGATCACAGATCTCTTTCAGCAGATGCCTGGGCCTGAAGGCAGCTTAATATGTATGTTTTAGGATTGAATAGATGCTAAAACCAAGATTAGCAAAACATATACAGAAGGTAAAACAGTCAAATTAGTACTTAAAACAAGTAACACAGATGCTTAAGCTAAAATCTGCAAAACTAGCTTAAATTTTCTAAAACAAATGCTAAAATTAGTCAAACTGACACTAAAAATTAACAAAACAGCAAGTAAAAGTAGCAAAACAGCAAATAATAGATCCAAACTGTAGCTTAATGCAAACAGGAGCACATTGGTGCTAAAAGAATAGAATAGTAGCTAAAAACAAAACTCTAGCTAAACGCTGAGTGCCAGAACAGTAGCTAAAAAGTGAAAACTACCATAGAAATTGATGAGATCTCGATGTATTTCTATTGGGAATTTCATTTTAAGATAAGAGGAATAGTTTTAAACATATAAAAGGTACAAAAACCAAAAGTCATAGCACTATTAAGTTGAACAATTTGTTATATGAATGACCAAAATTAGCACAAAGGCTGCAAAAGTATTTTAGCTAAACAAGTACAAAATAAACTAAACAGAAAAACTGTGTGAATGCTGACTCAGCAGCCACATAATACTAAAGTCAAGTCTCATTTATGATACATGTTGTGTGTCTGTTGTACATGCTGTTGTGTTTTGGTTCAGCTGGAACAGAAACTATCGTATTATTCAAGTTGCTTTATGTACAAATCAAATGTTAAAAATCAGCAACGTGTCACGAAGCGATCGCAAAGATCAATGCAGAACATACGAACGACGGCAAGCATGTGTACCTCTGACCAGTCCAAAGCCAGCCATTCGGGGGGGCAGCTGTGGTTGCTGCAGGGCTCAGTGAACGACGGGCAAGGAGCGGTGCAGACCGAGTCGTCCAGAACTTTCTCCTCCACGACAGAGATCCTCCTTTTACATAACACCTCCCTGGTCCGCAGACCACCATTACAGCTGCGGCTGCACTCTGACCACTCTCCGCTCCACCAGCTAGAAGCAGAAAAAAACATGTAGTAAGGTTCAGTATTCTTTTTCATAAAATATATAGCCCTAGGAAATAAAAAAGAGATGCACACATGCAGAGGAACTGTTAAAACTTTCTTTTAAAATGGATTAAAAGCCTACATAAAATATGTCGTGCAGACAGCTTGAATAAGCTGGAACTTAAACTCATCTTTACTGCAGCAGCACTCACGTTGGGGAGCAAGGCTCAGTGTTGCAGGATCTTCTTTTCTCCTTGGGTTTATTCTTCTTGTCACAGAAGTGATTGTAGACGACCGTAAGATCCACCTGACTCTTACAGACCACCTGCTGGACCTGCACACCTGGAGAGCAGAAGAAACACAGAAGGGTAAATAAACTACAGCTGTTGTCTCTCTGAGGTTGTTCAGACCTGTTGTTAAAACCTGCTTTTAGATATCCACTGGTGAATGGATAACACTAAGGTTACAGGAGCAGAGTAAGAAAAGGTCTTTATGCTGAGTTCAGTCCGCAATGAGGGAGCGCTGCAGGTAATGAAGGCCTGAGAGCGCATGTTGTAACTGCACTGACGACGTGACGTGTGGGAGGAGATATAAGAAGGCAGCAGACCAAGGAGTGATTTATAGATGAAAATGAACCAGTGTGAGAGTCTACATGTAGATAATGATGACCAACTGACCAACGAGTACAGAGTGCAGTTATGGGTACAGTAGTTACAACAAGTTATGGTAGACAGCATCCAACATCTGCAAGGAGCTGGCAGGGGCATTCATGTCACCATTGTCAATGACAGGTAGGAAAGTTGCAGCTACAAGGTGTTTCCTGGCATGCAGAGTTAAGCAAGATCTATCTCTGAAAAAGAAACCCAGTTTTAATTTCAGCTTCTTTATCAATTTTTCAACATGTGGCTTAAAAGAGAGATGTGCATCGACCAAGATTTCCAAGTTTTTGTAAGAATCCACAAACTCAATAAGAACACCATGTGTTCAATTGTGAGACTGTTACATTTGGATAAGGTAGACTTGGTGTCAACAAGGAGTTCAGCGTTTTCTTGGAGTTCAGTTTAAGAAAGTTTTGACTAAACCATAATTTAATCTCACAGAGGCAGTCTGAAAGGAAGGATGGAGGAAGGGTGGTATTGGGCTTAGTGGAGAAGTAGAGCTGGGTGTCATCCGCATAGCAGTGAAAATGAATACCAAATTTTCTAAAAAAATGAGACCAAGTGGAAGAAGATAAATGATAAACAGGAGAGGACCAAGAACAGAACCCTGAGATACACTTGAAATAACTGGGGAAAACTGTGACTTGAAGTTTTTAAGTTGGACAAAGTGCTGACGGTCCGAGAGATAAGATTGAAACCAATTCAGAACGATGCCCAAAAAACAATGGAACGTAATCTGTCAAAAAGAATACATGTGAAATGGTATCAAATGCTGTACTTAGGTCAAGGAGTATGAGAATTGATAAAAGTCCAGAATCGGCAGCAATCAGGAGATCATTGGTGATTTTAAACAAAGCTGTCTTGGTGCTGTGGAGGGGGCGGAAAAAACCTGACTGAAGTTCTTCAAACAGATTATTATCAGAAATATGACTGTGAATGTGGACTGCAACTGTTTTTTCAAGTATTTTGGAGATGAAGGGTAGGTTAGAAATTGGTCTAAAAGTCCTGATTAGGATCAGCACCTGGTTTTTTTTTAGAATTTGAGTTATTGCAGCAATTTTGAGTGACGCTGGGACAAAACCAGAAGAGAGAGATAAATGAATAATCTTAGTTATTAGAGTAAATAGAGAAGGTAGACAGGCTTTAATTAAGTGTGTAGGAAGTGGATCAAGCTGACAGGTAGAAGACTTGGATTTAAAGATGAGACTACAAACTTCTGACAGAGAAGGGGGTCGAAAACTGGAGAAAGTTACCATAGAGGGGCTATATGAGAGAAAACCAGAGGAAGTGGATTGCAACACGAACAATTCCTGATGGGTGGTTTCAATTTTAGTATTAAAAAGTCCATAAATTTGTTGCAATAATCACTGGTACATGTGTGATGGGAGAGTATCTGGAGGTTGTAAAATGGTGTTAATAGTAGAAAACAATGTTCTGGTGTTCCCATTACTTGTGCTAATTAAATTAGCATAGTAGGCTGATTTAGCTATGCAGACAGAATCCTTATAGTGTTTCATATGTTCTTCAAACAAATTTTTGTGAATAATAATTCCTGTTTTATTATAGATACACTTCCAAACGGTGTCCTTTAACTTCAAGAAAGCAGAGTTCTTGAGTATACCAGGAAGCAGAGCGGGAGAAATGAACAATATGTGTCTTAACAAGGGGCGAGTTCATCCAGAATATTTTGAAGACTGTTGTTGTAGTACAAAACCAGGCTATTAGGACAAGGCATAAGAAATGTAGAAGCTGGAAAACCTTGGTAACTATGTTAGTTCAACAAAAAACAACTGTATCATCGGCATAGAGATGTAAGGAGGCGTCAGGACTGTTCTGACCTACATTACATGTAAAAATTGTAAAGAGAGTGGGTCCTAAAACTAAGCCTTGTGGCACACCATTATTGACAGTTAAATAACTAGAAGAAGTACCATTGTGTTGAACACACTGCCTTCGACCTGAGAAATAATTAGAAAACCATTCGATAGTGTGATCTGATAGGAACAACCTTACTAATCATATGATTTTTTCAAAGATTCAACATTGATTACAACTCTAGAACAAAAAATATAAGGATGGTCAAAAATAAAACATATACAGTAAATTAATCGATTTGTTTGTTTTGTGTTTTTTCTACCTCCAGCACACACAGCTGAGCAGCGAGACCAGGAGGTGTAGTGCCAGGCAAACCCGCTCAGAGGATCCCTGCTGACTGGCGGATTGAAACGAAAGTGGATCCCCGGGTTTTCCTCCCGAACCAGCACCTGTGCACACACAGGATTCAACAGTTAGCACAACACATTCTCAGCTGCTTGTCTTTTTCAATTTACTGTTATGACATAAATGATGTTTCTGTACAACTGTCTGAACCTACCAAGTGGAAAACCAGGTTTGTTGTTTCTGTGTGTTCTCACCATGAAGATGAGGGTGATGTTTGTTGGACCCAGAGCTTCAAGAGTTTCTGGCCCGTCAGTGGGCCGTCTGTAGTGGAAGGTGGTGCCCGCAATGTTGAACCTCCGAGGGGTGTCGATGGTAAGCTTCCCGTTGATAAAATATTGGTCACTTTTACTCTTCAGCACTGGAAAACAGAGGAAAAGGAGATCTTTGGGAGTTCATAGATTACATTCCAGGATTTATAACAAGTCTGTTGGAATTAACTTCATCTTACCAAGGTAGTTGAGGGAGATGTTGAGCTCCTGGATGTGGATGAAGACAGAGCCTTTAGGGATTCTGACCACCTCTTCGTAGCCTAAAACGCAAAAAGAGTCAAAAAATGAAGGCGAGCAGAACTGGTGGTCGATGCAGGGGTAGTGATTCGCTCTGTGGGACATCCATGGTCCAAGCAGAGGCTTCGGTTTCCAGCTGCATTCCTGGGCAGATCTCCTCGAGTCTCTGCTCAAAAGTAACATCAGTGCCAAGAGAGCTGGCTTCTCCTCCATTCCTTCAATCTGTCATGTCCCTTTTTCTCTACTCGTCTCACCTCCATCTCCGCCTGACTCGGCTTTTTTCTTCTTCTTCAAGCTTTGCTCTGCTGTCTGGCCAGCAGGCCAGGTGCTGCAGCACCATAAATAACTGAAGGAAGGCATAATAAACACTAAAATCTAATTCTTCCAGTGACATTTGGATCGTGACAGCTTTGTGGAGCTTTTGGTGGAGGGAGGTGAACGTAGATCTAAAGTTTTCAACCTCAAATACCTGAAAGGTGTTAAATTGAGCTTTGTAAACTTGGCTGTAGAATAATTTTTCTGGTGTGCCTCGGATCATCATCCTGCTGCAGAACCCAAGCAACAAACTGATGGTCGGATGTTCTCCTTCAATATTTCTGGTAAAGAGCAGAACTCACGGTTCCATCAATTACAACAAGTTGCCCAGAACCTGAAGCAGCAAAGGAGTTCCAGATCATCACAGTACCTCAGCCATGTTTGACTGCAGGTGAGGTTATTTTCTGGAATGTAGTTTTAATTTCACACCAGATGAAACACTCTTTCCAAAAAATTCCACTTTTGTCCCCAGACTGCTTGTGTCAGATTGCTCAGAGATGGTTTTGACCTTGGATCTCTTCCATGGAGGTCATTTTTGCCTGTCAGCTCGTTCGTTTTATTGAATCATGAACTCTGGCCTTAACTGAAGCCAGTGAGGCCTGCAGAGCTTTACAGAGACTATTATGGGTTCTTCCGGACTCCTGGACGAGTCTCGATGGGTTCTTGGAGTAATTTTGGTCGGCCGGCTACTCCTGGTAAGGTTTACCACTGTTCCATGTTCTCTTTTTGTCAATAACGGCTCCGTGTTATTTAAAAAAAAATATATATATATATTGTGTACTCTACAGGTCTGAAAGTGAAACTAAACTCTGCTTTCAAAAGAAAAAGTTATTTCATGATTTATCTAGAGGGTCAATTAGTTTTCACATACTGTAGGCCCAGATTGATTTGAATAGCTTTTTTCATTTTCACGAATGAAATCAATTGAAAAGGGCATTTTGTATTTACTCAAGTTATCTTCATCTGACAAAATAAGCAAAAACTGAAAATATTTCTATACATTTGGGTAATATGTGCATTTTCCTTTTGTTCCCCCCAGTGGGATGAACTTCAGACATTCATGTCATTTAATCAACTTTACCGTGCAGGATCATCAGTTTGGCTTCATTTTGAGGCTGATACTTTCACCAAGGACAGCGTGTTGTTAATATCGTATGAGAATTTACCAACAGGTATCCAAAAGATTTGGTGCTTTTATTCACTCTTCCTCCTCACTCATCCTTTATGTCCTTTTTTCCTGCTCTATCAATGAAGTCGGACATCCATCCATCCATCCATCCATCCATCCATTATCTTTACCCGCTTATTCCATTTTGGGTCACGGGGGTCGCCGGTGCCCATGTCCAGCAATCACTGTGCGAGGGGCGGGGTACACCCTGGACAGGTCGCAAGTCCATCACAGGGCCACATAGAGACAAACGAAACAAACAACCATTCACTCTCACCTAGGGACAATTTAGAGTTACCAATCAGCCTAACATACATGTTTTTGGTCTTTGGGAGGAAACTGGAGTACCTGGAGAAAACCCACGCATGCACGGAGAGAACATGCAAACTCCACCCAGAAGGCCCCTGGACCGGGGTTTGAACCAAGGACCTGCTCGCTGAGAGGCAGCAGCTCTACCAGTTGCGCCACCGTGCTGCCCCTGAAGTCGGACAAATGTGATCAATTTCTTTAAAAAGATTTTTAAGTGAACTTGACACATGTAGTGTTTCTGCATCTGCGTAAATCAGCATCCAGTTTTATTTTCTTTTGCCTTTTCCAGAACATTGCTCTGCATTTTGCCTCGTGCAAAGCTCTGCAAAAACAACCCATGTTGCACCATGGCAGCCTTGTGCCTTTGTCTTAAATTGCACATGTGAGACAAACAAAACGAAAAGCCACACATAAGAAAATAAAAAGTGCCCCCAAAGCACTGATAGAGGTCCAAAGCCTCCAGAGGGATCCTTTAAATCACAGAAGCAGACGGAGGAAAAGACGGGTTGGCAGCAAGCTCTCAGAGTTTAAAGGAATCAAACGCTCGCTGTAGACATGACTGAGTGATTCTTCTAGTCATAAATCTGCCAGGGACCAGAATAAGCGTTCAGTTTTCTGCCTGGAGTTTGAGTTTGGTTGTAGATGTGGACATGCTGTGCAGGAAGGGGTTACCACGTCAGAAAAGTTTAGATTTTCAATGTTTAAACTCTTTTAAAAAAAATTTTCAAATTAAGTTTTTGTTGGCAAAACTACTTTATTATTTTTTTAGAGCTTAAAGTTAGTAGTATATTAGTAGTTATTCCCAATTCCCAGCAATAATTCTGCCCTAATCTCAGATTAAATTGTGCAAACTGAAAGAACAAAAAAAAATTAAAGTATTTTAATGTTTATGTCCAGACACTTTATTTGCACGCACGTTTAAAACTGTACACGTTGGACGAACGTTGTGCGCAAGAAATAAAACTGTAATCAACAAACAATAAATAAATAAATAATATGATTAAATGTCAATAAAAACATTCTAAAAATGTGGAGATAAAATTAAGCAACAAATTAGTCTTTCTGGTTGATGTGAACTAATGAAAAAGACCATAAATGATTTATAATATCATTTGCTCTCACTGATGTTTCCTAATTAATAAAACTGTGTGGAAATGGGACAGAAGTTTTATAATATTTATACATTAATATTTGATTATTATTTAATATCTGATAAGTAAAATACTTAACGGATTGTGTAAAAAGAAATCTTTGACTTGACAAAAAAAACTTGGAGAAAGTCAGTTGTGTGACAAAGTGGCAGTTTTATAATTTCTGGAAAATGTTGGTTTTATTTTGTTAGTTTAAGCACTTTTTAAAAAAAAAATATTTAATTCCTTAATTTTTCTTTACGTTAATTAAAAGGCAGAAATGATTGCACCATACTCACAGCAACACATTGATTTTGATCTTATGGAAAAATACAAACAACAAAACCTACATTTCATCTGCTTTACTGACATTTATTGTTTGCTGTTTTTGCCAACCAGAACTCCAGACATTCTGAGGGCAGCTGAGATCTTGGACTGGGCTGATAGAACGGCCTGGTCTTTACGGTTTGGATCAAAACGGCCCGCTCAGGGTGTGGCCCCTCGAAAGAATCAGGGGAGTGATGTGATGGGTGTTGACACTTTGAGAGCCTCTGGAGTCGGTGTTGTGGGCACAAAGTCACCCAGAATAGATTTTACAGCAGCAGGACCTCTAACCGCGCTGGTTGGGTTTATGTGCCAAGACATTTTTGAGGCGTTATCTTCAGCTGGCTCCTTGTTCTGTTTGTATACAACGCCAACTTCACTCTTATTTATAGATTTTCTAGAAGGGCTTGTTCAAGTTGAATCCAAACCGCGTCCATCATCCTCCACTCTGCGATCTTGACATTATAGATGCACCTGACACTGCTGCTACAATGCTATGGCAATCAAATTATTTTACGCCATACATGTCGCACCGCCCTATAAGTCGCATCAGTCCAAAAATTTACAATTAAAGTGGAAAAATCCATGAATACGTCACTTCGCCGTATGCATTGCATCTATTATGCGTCACCGCTGACAACCCGGAAATGTGGGCCGGTGTTGTGCCAAAAATCAATTGGCTGCCAAATGGCAGCTGCGGGAGCGTGCACGGGAGGACTTTAACAAGAATTTAACAAGATTAACACTTAAAAACAATTATTTGTTTGCTTGAAATTATAGTAAAGGTGTGTCTCAGTCTAACTTTTGCTTAATAAATGCACTTTGACTGTCAAATCAGCTGCATTTCAAAAGCCGATACGCGGAAGTAGGCACATGCGCGGGACGACTCGCTGTGCATTTCTTTGAAATTTAACAAGATAACCACCTAAAAACTATTTGTTTGCTCAACATTATAGCAAAGGTGTGTCTCACGTTGAACTTTTACTTAATAAATGCACTTCAATGATCAAATTAGCTGCATTATTCCAGGGCATTGCAACGAAATGAAGCTGATTTGACGGTTGCTCCCGGCGAGCTGGACTAAAGTGGCAGGCTATGGCAAGCCGAATGTGTCATTAATAGCCACTTTTACCTATTACATGACACAACGGCATGCCATACAACTCGAGTACCATCTAGCGGCTGAAAATGGTAGTGTTCAATATTTTCAATCAGAATGAATGAAAACGATCATATCTCAGCCAAAAATTGGTTTATAAATATGGGGAAAAAAAATCCATAAATAAGTTGCTTCAGCGTATATATATGTATACGTATATACTTATATAAGTCACAGGGCATGCAAATTATACCAAAAAAAAGTGACTTATAGGCCAAAAAATATGGTATATACATATTTGTTTTCTTGTTTATACCCAATGCATCCTACAGAAAATCTGTTTACAGCTTCTATATCAGGGCTATTCAACTGGAGGCCCGCAGGTTACTTCAGTCCGCTCCACCAATGAGTTAATAAAATACACAGTATTTACTATTTAGTACAGTGAGGAAAATAAGTTTGAACACCCTGCGACTTTGCAAGTTCTCCCACTTAGAAATCATGGAGGGGTCTGAAATTTTCATCTTAGGTGCATGTCCACTGTGAGAGACATAATCTAAAAAATAAAAAAAATCCGGAAATCACAATGTATGATTTTTAAAAATCCTTTATTTGTGTGTTACTGCTGCGAATAAGTATTTGAACACCTGCCATTCAGCAACAATTCTGGCCCTCAAAGACCTGTTAGTCCGCCTCTAAAAAGTCCACCTCCACTCCAGAAGCACCTGTTTGAGGTTGTTAGCTGCATAAAGGCACCTGTCCCCCCACACAATCAGTAAGACTCCAACTACTAACATGGCTAAGACCAAAGAGCTGTCCAAAGACACCAAAGACAAAACTGTAGACCTCCACAAGGCTGGAAAGGGCTACGGGGCAATTGCCAAGCAGCTTGGTGAAAAAAGATCAACTGTTGGAGCAATTATTAGAAAATGAAAGAAACTAAACACGACTGTCAATCTCCATCGGACTGGGGCTCCATGCAAGATCTCACCTCGTGGCGTATCAATGATCCTAAGAAAGGTGAGGAATCTACTTGGTTTATTTACATAATGACTTTAATCACTGGATGTCCGGCCCCTGAGCTTCTGGCTTTCAGAAACTGTGCCCCCCCACCTCTACCCCCCACCCCCCGAGCAGTTTAGTTGAATAGCCCTGTTCTATATTATAAGACCACTGAACTGGACGGAAAAATATTTTATGATAAAATGCATTATGTTTAAAGTAAAACAGGAGCACAATTTAAGGATCTGCAGCACATGTAATGTTTTTACTGAATTTGTGAAAAAATTACAGTAAATGTAACAGCATGCTTTTGGGAGCACGGCTACACTGAATATATTCATCCCCTGGTTTATCCTAAATCACACATTTTTCCAAGGTTCTTCTGTGGTCCAGAGTGCCAGAATCCGAATGTGCATAATTTGACAGAACAAATTGTGCGGTATAACTTAATAACTGCTTCCTGTTGGCTTTGTCTAGTTCCTGGAAAGGTGGACACTGATCCAAAGTTGGGATTAAAGGGCTACAATTCATTGAAGGAATGCATATCGCCCGTCATTTTATGCTGATAAATGACTGTGCGTAGCCATTTTGTTCTAACCTTATAAAATCTATTGTGATATCACGAGATGTCAAGCTCAAAGTACGTGTCGTTAATGACTCTCAGCTACTACCACATCAAATTTCAGCTCAATATCTGTAAAACTGACTGCTCTAGATGTTTTAGTGTTGACTAACATAGATTTATCTCCATTTTGTCTGGTTGATTTTTAAGTTAATCAGTTGTAAAGGTACGTCTAATGGTTATTTCCTGAAAGTTTCTCACAAGTTTGTTCAGTGGTTCATGAGACATTTTGGTAACAGACACACAAACACAAATTATTTCGCCCACGTTTCGGCAGCAGGTGATAATTAAATAGTGGTAACACTTGAAAGGTAAAATGAGTGTTTTTGTTCTCTACCTCCTTCGGGCAGCGAGTCGTTGAAGACCCCCTCCACAGAGACACAGCTGCTCCCATCCCCCCCACAGATCCGGCAGCGGTCTTCCCTTATGTCCGAGCCGAGAACACGGTCACAGCCCACGTGCTGCAAGAGTTTAAAACAAAAAAAAGTTTGAGGTGCATGGGTCACAGTTATGGGTGGACGAGGGGAACACGGTCAGCGAGGCGAGGGGCGTCAGAGGCCGCGCTGACGAATGACCTCCTAATGTCTTGCAGACCCACAACTTTTAAAAACACAGAAACATCAGATGGCAGGCCCACATGTGTTTTCTGATCCTGTGCAGACATGACGCTCGTCGGTTGCTAAACTCAGAGCTGTCGACAAAAAATAAATTCCACGATGAGCCAAGCAGGTGGTTCCACTCCAACTCTTAACCAGGGACCCAAACTTAAACAAAAGCATAACAACTGAATGACTAGTGCCATTATTCTCAGTGACTTATTATTATGGACGCTATGGATTATTACTGTGAGAATGCTGACTCGGCATACATACTTTTTAAAAAAATTATTTTTATGGTTTCTAGATTGTTTTTTTTTTAAAGTAAACAAACTATCTGCATATTTTGTTCTATTCATTATTCATAGATTGTTCAGTTTATTCAGGAGATGGGCTCTATGACTTTGGGTTTTTGTAGCTTTTATACTTTTGCATTTAATTTTATTTAAAATAACAATTCCATATAGAAATACATTAAAATTTGTTCAGCAGGTTTTAGCTTTTAGCTACAGTTTTGCTAATTTTAGCATCTGTTTTGCCAATTTAATTTAATGCCTTGCTCATTTAGTAGAAACAAAGGTTTTGATACTTTTAGCTACTATTTTGATTTTTTTTTTTTTTTTTTTTTTTTTTTAGCTTTAGCATCTGGTTTGCTATTATCATTGTTTTGCTAATAGGTTTGGTCCTTTGAAGCTTTAGTGTTATAGCTAGCTACAGTTCAGATAATTTTAGATTTAGTATCGTTTTGCATTTGTTATTTACCATTTTGCTAATTTTAGCAACTGTTTTGATACTTTTAGCCTGGATTATGCTCTTTCTTTTTAACAACTTGGGTAAATTTCTGCAAAATCCTATAGCATTCTCACTGCATGCTTGCAGAAAATATAATTTTTCTCACTATATTTAATGAGACAGGATCACAGCTCCACAACGAGTGACGATGTTAACATGATGAGTTATTAAATTTTATAATTAGGCAGATTCTGATTAGTGAAAAAAAAACTGCTTTAAATCAGGATGTTCCCACCATAAGAAATGGCTTTATTTACATTTAGTCATTTCATTTGTCAAGAGCAAAACAATGGAACAAAATACTACATTACAGCAGGAAAATAATCAGTTGTTTAAATAATCCTGTCAGAATTATTGATTGTTAATGTTTGAATTTATATTTCACACTTTTTCACTTTATAGTGCACCCTTAAAAACATGTTAAAATGTTTCCCTATTTAGTGAGTTTTGTGGCAAAGTAATTAACAGTAAACTGATAAGATAAACAGATAAAAGTACTTTTTAAATTTTTTTCCAAGATTTATTCCTGTTACCACATGGCCTTCATTTGATGATAGCTAAACAGGAAGAGGCCCAGAGACTGGGGAGATGACAAGTAGCAAAAGGTCAAAGGTCAAACTTGAACTAAGGCCAGATGTGAAAGCCTCTGTACATGGAGTCAGCCAGTTCAAATACTTTACATTGTATATTTAACTTAAACGTAAAATAACAGAAAATGCAGCCAGACTGTATGAGTTTGTTTAATTAAAAAAATAATAATAATAATTTTAAATAAACTGAACTATTTAATCTCAAATGATATTTAGAAATTTAAGTACAAATAAAACTCATGCAAAAGGGACACACTGCTCCTGGATTTACCTGTTCTTTTGTTTTTAATGTCAAACGGGTGCTAATTTCCTTTTTATACACATTTTTTTTTATGTTTTAAGGTCATTTTTTAATCAACTGGATCATCGGTTCTGAGGTAAAACTGCACAAACTGAAAACTGATCATCTTTTTTCCTGCTTCTCTCCTCTGTGACTAACAGAGTTTGTGACAGAAACTCACATGACGCTGAAACAAGAGGGGACAAAAATGTATATCTGAAGTGTTCAAGGAGTTTAAAGTGTGCATCAAATGTAGAACAATGGAGGGAGAGGGAGAGGGGGAGGTGGCTGGATTGGAGGCAGAAATTTGTCAGAAAAAATAAGAGAGGCGGAGAGAGGCAGAAAGTAGAAAATAGGAGAGATAATGAGAGAGTTGGGAATGAACTCCAGCCTGCAGACAGACTAACAGCTGAGCTGCAGGGTCACCGAGTTCCTGCAAACCAGAACAGCTCGGAGTACAAGGAATAAATGAGGAAGAGGAGGGAAAAAAAAAGGAGCAAAGGAGAGGTTAAAAAAGGCAAATGGAGTTACTGGAAATTAAAATCCTGATGGTTCTAATTTATTTTCTCCGTCCTCAGATTTTTCTGTTAATGTGGACTGATTGTGAAACAAATTCAGCATTTCTTGAGTCCTTGGTCACATGGGTGCCAGATGGGTTCAGTGGACTGTTTGGAGCCCCAGGTGGTCCATCCAAGCCCACCACAGAGCAACGTTTTGTTTCCACTGACAGCTAATTAAGAGGGACTCATTAACGGGAACCTCGCTCGGCTGCCAAAGTTTTGACAGCGTATCAGCTGATTCTGATGAGCAACACCAGTCGGCGTGTAAACCGAACATCTGCGGCTGTCCGGATTCCTTAAAGTGAGGATAAACAGCGTTATAAAAGATGGAGGGGATCGTCTGTTTAGTCGTTTAAACGCCTCCTCACATTTAATGATTTCACTCGAATCACGCGCCGTGGATTGATGCGTTAAAAAGCGAAAGCCCTTCAGCTCACCTTACACTCTCCGTTCACGCACACATCCAGAGACTCGTCTCGACACGGCGTGCCGTCCACCACAGCCGGAGCGCGCTCCGTGTAAAAGTTGTATCCTTCAGCGAGACAGTTCAGAGAGCAGGGCTTCACTCCACCTGGATGCACAGACGCATAACAGGATGCAACAAATAAAGAAAACACATGTTATTTACATGGACAGAGGTTATAGTACACTTAAAGTACATGTAGAAGTCTACACGCCAACAAATGTACAATGTAATAAACAATAATTGCACTAATTGTTGTTTTCTTAAAGTCCAAGAAATAAAGTTAAACAAGCATAAAATATCAATTTAGCTGAATTTAATCTAGAAGCTTTTACATTCTAGAGTCAAGTCACGTGGCTGTTAAACAAGTTTAGCACAATGCAAATATTTAAATCTGTGAGAAATTGTAGAACAAGCTATTAGTGCTTAGTTAGTTGATTAGTTGATGTTTTTCTTAGTTCATATCTTGGATCTTATTACCGTTTTTTTCTTTTACATTTTATTGTTGGATGTAACTGAGACACTGAGTACACAATATCACAATAAACTCAAGGGGCTGGACATTCAGCAGTTGTTGTCATTAAGTTAGTTTATTTATGGTTTAACATCTAGTTTTATTTAAGAAGAACCCGTTGGTGGGCCAAACTGAGTTCATCCGTGGGCCTGATTTGGTCCCCGGGCCACCAGTTGAATAGTCCTGTTGTACAATTAAAAACAGAGAACTAATGAGAACCAAGCTCCACATCGTGTTGTCCACTAATTCTCACCTCCTTTCAAACTTTAACGTGATAATAAAAAAATGTAAAAAATTCTGTTTGTTACTTTTAGATATAAATTGTAATTAATTAATTTTCTTCCAAATGCATGCAGTATAAAGTGCGCTGGTTATGTTTGCATGGTTGAGAGCAACTCTTCAGCTCCTGCCAGGAGCAGAAAAAGCCACACAAAAGAGCAAAAAGGCTTTCCAGAGAAACTAGAAACATTATTTCTGTAATGATGGAGAGAAAAAGCAGCTGAATGCGGTTATGTCTGTTCTTCTCTGAAATATGTGCACGCAAACACCAAACTAATGGTTAATAATACTTCAGTGAATACACAGATTGATACCATGCAACAGAAAAGCAACTTTACTCCCATTATTAAAAATAAAAGACTATAAAACACTTTTCAAACAAAACCTTAAAAAAAAGCTTACCATGACCACATGCAATTTGATGTTATTGTTATAGTTTCCCAGATATATTGCAGCTTTACTGGTGTGAAGAAGTTAAGTACTGAGTGGCCGATCGATCTAGATAGATAGATCGATCTAGATAT